ACCTCAGTTTTGGGGATCATTTAGTTCTGGTAGCAGTTGCTGTAAAGGGGTAGGTCCATAAAACACTTTTTTTTTTTTTTATTTCCTTTGACCCTGAAGATGTTCTCAGGAAGTGTTTGCATCACAGGTTATTCCAGGTTTCCTTCAGCTTAACACATTCAGAAGAATGGGGTCTTCTTCTTGGCCCAGCTGAGCATATCTTACCCTTGGTCTGTGGCTGACAGAAATAGACTGTCCCATATTTGGATTCTGCATTAGCTGCTGTCCATTTTGATAAAACTATACAGTGTTGACGGAGGACGCCCAGTGCTGACACCCCTTTCTCCTGTGTTATTGTTCTTCTTCCTGAGAGATTTTCAGCTGTTGTCCACCAAGACGTGAAGGTTATGATGGGCCAAGAAGTGTCTGTTCCATTTATAACCTATATTCTCACACTTTATGAAAACACACCCGCTCTCTTTTCCTCACACATTGTTAATAGTTGTGTTCCAAAATCTAGTGAGCGGCATAACTTGGACAGCTTTTTTTAGGCATCATATGCTCACTCCCAATGCTAAGGCTCAATTATGCTTTAAAAAATACTGTGCTTTGACTAAATTCTAAGGCAGCATTGCGTAAATCCTATGCTTCAGATGCCTGTTCTGAAAAATAAATCTCTTATTTATACTATTTGCCTCATTGATTAGAATGATAGGCTTCAGCTAAGCCTAAATTAAACTGTGCAATTAACAGTTTTAATGATCAGTTAAAGGAATGAAAACATTCAGTCATAATTTAATTTTGTTGTTCCAAACCCATTTGATTTTCTTCTACATAACACAAAAGTACATTATTTTAATGAATATCTGTTTTGGTGTCAGGGGTCAGCAAAAAAGTCCATGAAACTTGTTTATTGTTTTCTGAGTGCTCTGGTTGGATTTGGTGAAATTCAACCCAATATCTAAGCAATTGCAAAGTAAATTTGTGGCGGCTACAATGAGTACTGCAGAGATGAGATTTATGGCCAAAACCTCAAAACAATTTGGCAATTTAGCACTTTTTGTTCCATTGTGAAATAAGGGTATGGTTAACACAATTTCAAGATATTTTCACGTTTTATTCTACAACATAAAAAACAAAAAAATCAAAAGGGGTATTACGGAGTTTTTTTTTTTAGTAAAATCCCCTTGTGATTAATTAAAAAAGCAGTTGCAAAAAAGTGGTTAGATGGGACTGCAGAAGTTCTCTGGGACACTGATTAAACACAATTACACCAAACAAGAAAACATTGGCGCTGGTGACGCTGAAGTCATGTGACCGTGGTATAGTTGGCTTATAGCCTTCATGTAACACAAAATTTGAATCATAAACTTTTTTTAGGTCACAGAGCTTTTTCTGCTATAATCCAAAAGCCAATGGAAAAATTATGTTGCATTTTGGTCAAGGAAACCAAGGTGATGCAAACTAACGGGCTGGCATTAAAAAAAAAAAATGTCATCACTGCAGTGCTCTGTTGCTGTCCTGTGCACCATCCGGTGCTTCACAATCCATTCCAGAATGATGGCTGACCAATTGCCATTAAAACACCAGAAGAGGAAGAAGAATCTGCCACTTACTGGAATGGAGTGGGAAACTCTGAATGGCACAAAGGAGACCACCATGATTTTGAAATAGCTTTGTCATTTCTGGCTGAACTACTTCTTTAATTGAGCCAGTGTCTAAACATAATCTTCAATATTTGATTCATTGTAGAGCCTTACTAAGTATCCCATAGAAATCAAGTCAGTTTGAATCTCAAGGGATATGTTTCTGCTTTGACAGCTTATGTATGTACCTTATGAACCAGCCTGGCACTGTTGCACAACTCCCAGTAATCAGAGCGGTGACTTTTTCTTTGTCCTCTAGCTGGGGCAGCGGTCCTCTGCCTTTTATGGCCGTCATTAAACAGAGATGCAAGTAACGGAACACAGTACAAGGCAGCCGAAGATCTAATATGGTTGTTCTGTTCTCCATGCTTTCAGCCGCTGAACTGATTCTTAACAGGTCAAGCTGGAGATCTTGTGTCTTGTTTGCAGAGTGGACGTGCCATTCATTTCTCACATGATGAGGAACTCTCACTGACAGGCCAGCAGTAACTGAATGCCCTCTGACATCACGGCTGCTAGAACATTATGGAGTGCCATTGTCACTTGACCGAGAGCTAATTTAAGGAAAAGGTCTGTCTTCTCTGATATGACTCGGCTGTTTCATGGTTGCAAGAGTGCACACACAGTTTGGAGAACAATCGAGACACTTTCACATGACTTGTGCCTCCATTGAAGCGAAGCAGCAAGCCAACTTGTTGTCAGCAGGTGAAGCATTATAATGTGAAGCTCAAAGTTCAGATAGTTTCAGCTCTGACTCCGTTTTCTCTGACATCTCAAAGTACAGCCATGATTGTTATTCGATGTGTATCATTAATGCTGTATTTCATACAACTCCAAACTTGGAATTCTCCTATGTGACAATAATAACCACTGGAACTACAGATGCAAAGACCTCTTATCACAGTCATGATTAAAGAATCGATCCCTTGCTTCCCTCTACCCCTTGTTTGGGCTCCATTGTGTTTCATTTTTATGTTTGTCATCAGATAACAGAATCCAATAACCATTCACTGTAACATATTGTAGCATGACTTAATTGTCCAGCTGTGTGAAACATCTTGTCCTGGACCTCCATTCACCAATCCTAGCCTTCTACTTGGACTATTTCAGGGCTCTTAAATATCAAACTTGAGCTAATATTTACTGTAAAAGAACCCCCCCCCTCCCTCCAATGAGACTGTGATCCAGTTGATCAGACATGTCGGGTTTATCCACAGTTCTTGTCTGTCTGGATGTTGTCTTGTGAACTAAACCAAGCATGTGCAGAACACTTCAGACTGAGGCTTGGCTTTTGTAGTATTTGACTAAATGCCAGACCGAAGAGCTTCTGGCCACTTGCATAATAACAGCCTCAGGAAGGGTATTGATGGAGCTTAAGCGTAATAATACACAACCTATTTTCCACAATTATAGACCTAGTCACATTAAATTTAAGGCAAATAAAAATGAAACCGTATAGGAGCACAGTACGTTCACTATGGGTTGTACGTAGGTTCCTGTCCATTTTGGGTCTGTGTGGCATTGCCGTCCCACATCATCAACCCCACGTACGCACTCTCATTATTTGTTTATCTGGATTTGGTAGGGAATTTATCGCATACTTTGAATATTTTCATATTTTTCTGTAATTTTCCTGGAACTTGTCCCAATCTGACAAGGGGAAGGAGCATCCCGCTCTTCCGTCTTCGCCTGCCAGCGTTCCAGATTTCCTGCCTTCTATTGTGGCTGCAGCGGGATGCTAACATCCTGGTTCAAGCCCTGAGGTCAATCCAACACACTCTGTATAGCTCTGTCTTTCATTCTCGCTGTCTCTCTCGCATTCATTTCTTCACTCTTTATCCTCTGTTTCCACCCACTCACCTTATCGCTTTTGCCTAGGCGTGAGTCAAAAGCTGTCTAACGCTAGTGTTTGTGCAGAATGCAGTAGTTTCCCTCTTTCTTTCATCTCTGTCCCTGACTTTCCTCTGTTGCTCTTCCTCATCTCTCTAATGCCAGGCCGCCATTTGTGATCCCGCCTCATTGTGCCTGCCAAACCACTTTAAACTCTAGCACCAACACAGCAGATTTACTCAGTCTGATGTGTCTCGTTTTCTCCTGTCTCATTACCGCTAACCAGGAGAGCAGCGTCTATTCATTGCCTGTGCTTTAATTTTCATTTACATTTACACATTTGGCAGCCACTTTCATTGCATTTAAAGTGCACATTTACATTTTATCAGTTCTTGCTTTGCATGGGAACAGACCTTGGCGTTGACCTTGCCAAGACCTTGGCATTTCTAGCGCCATGCTCTACTTTTTGAGCTACTGTTGTGAAAAGTACTGTTTGACAAAAAATTTGATATGTCAAAATAGATCTGTGCATTAAGTCTTGCAAAGTGCAATGGATCTGACACTTTTTCTGTAACCTGTAATGCGTTTCTTTGTTTTTAATTTTATTACTAACTTTTCATTTGATCTTTTTAATGTAGTGTTTGCTTAACTGAACAATAGTTGAAGCCTACATGCTAATGTTTTATTCTATTATTTACTTAGAATTATTAATTATATATAATGAACTGATTTAATTTATTTAATGTTTTTATTTTCAAAGAAGAGGTAAATGATAACTGTTAAAATAGTTATACTATACAGTAGTTTTTGCTATGGTACAGAGAACCGTGAGATTTTATTGGCACCAACTACTGAAATTTTGGCACCGTGACACTAGTTTGAGCTACAGGAAAGCCACTTGCTTCTGAAATCTTGATAATTTGCAGTGCAGGAGTACACATTTTCAAATTTATTTAATTCAAACACTTGATTCGGTTCAACTCCAATTCAAAAGCTTCAATTTTTACACTGTCTTTTTATTGCAGCACATTCAATACACATTCAAACTAACAGCTGATTGTAAATAATTTATTTTGCTGTGACACTGAATTTGCAGCAGCATGGATTCAGCAGCAGGACAGTCAGTCAGCTACAGGATATTATCCAGGTTCATTTATTAGGATTTTCTATGTAACAGAATGGATGTGGAGGGGCTTTTGGAATGGCACTGAGGCAGTCAGTGGCGTTTCCTGCCTTCTGATGAGAGGATGTACTATCTGAAGTGGCACATCCTGCATATGATCACAAACTATCCCATTTGCACACTGACGTGCCATAACTGCCTCATACTGCATTCCAGTAAGCCCTGTCAAAACAATGAAAAGTGTTTGAAATGAATTTCAACAACCTCAAATTCAATTCCTGTGATTTTCTCTGCGCTTATGATGTCACCTCTTATGGTAACCAGAATTTACTGGTTGCTTTTGTGCCGACTGGATATTCTGGTAATGTCAGGTTCTTGTAGAGTCAAGTCTAACACTGTTTGTTTTTTTTGTGCTTTTACAGTTCTGCCAGCCTGGTGGATGGAGACTGTCCCGTGAGAGGAAGCTCCCGACATTCTTCACAGTGGTGCTGACAGACATAGACTCAGAACGACACTTCTGCTCCTGTCTGACCTTCTTTGAGGCAGAGGTCAACCTTCAGGTGAGATTAAGGCCATGTTTTTATTACAAGGTCTAGTTAGGGGTCCAGGCATTTCTGCTGTTGTATTTGTATTGACTTTCGTTCTTCCTTATTAGAAAGAAAGGTGTCAGAGACCATAAAAACATTACTCTCTACTTGTATAATTGGAAACTGTACGAGCTAGTACCAACATTTATTTTGGCCAGAATCATTTTGTGATTGTGGTAATTGAACATTTTTCCTTATTAGAAAGAAAGGTGTCAGAGACCATAAAAACATTACTCTCTACTTGTATAATTGGAAACTGTATGAGCTAGTACCAACATTTATTTTGGCCACAATCATTTTGTGATTGTGGTAATTGAACATTGGCTAATGAATGATGACGTCAATATAATTAGTGATTTGAAAAGTGGGTGGAGGGATTGAATTGCTTTACACACTGAGGAAGGCTTTGAGCCGAAACGTTTATGTCTTTTCCCATCAGTAATGAATGTAAAATAAAATAAAAAAGAAGATTGTTCTCGTGAGTGCGGATCATAATTTCCTATACTAGGCCAGAATCATTTTGCAATTTTTTTTTTTGTCTAACCTTTGTCCATATCACACAAAATTTGAAATGCATCATCATTTAGCAGATACAGGCCAATCAAATTTTAGGCTATTCATACATTGCCAATCACACACATTTCCAATGCACGCTTGAAGGCAATAATGAATAAGACGCATTAAAATTAGTCCTAGATATAACTTGTCAATTAAATGCTCACAGTTGCACGGCAAAGCGAAAAATAAATTCTATATATAATGAAAATTAATCTTAGATCCTTTCACTCATTTTAATGACCTCAGAAGGACCAGAGTATTTTAAAAATATTTTAAGGATATTTAGGTCTTGAAAGTAAGCATTTCAACCATTCAACCACTTTGAGAACCTTTCAGTAATGGCTGCTGCGATCAGGATGGGACAAAATTTACTGCTGCATCTTAAAGTTCACTGTCCTGAGTGGAGAAAGAAAGAAGAGGAGCAGCAAGGAACTGGGGTTGGAGGACAGCTATGTAAAGAATGCAGCTGTAATTTCTGACTGTTGCTCAGCGTCCATCAGGGTTCCAACCCCAGCTGCTTCCAGTGATAATGAGGCTAGAGGAACCGCTCCTGTAGAAGATTTTCAGTTGTCCATCATTTTGAGAGGAAAAACATTGAGCAGCCACATTTTTTTTCTCATTTTTGCTGAGATGTTTTAGCATTAAGTGGAAGTCCTGGAGTGCAAGGAACCAGTGCACCAGTGTCCTTGACTGAGATAATCTACTTTATTAGGGCAAGGTTGGCAATAAGGGTGAAGTTTTGTGTTAATTTATATATAGTATAGTTTCAAGCGTGCCATTTTTCTGTAAATTAGGTTATTCAAGTTCATCGATTGTTTGGCAGAAACAAGCCAATACGTTTTTGCCAATAGGCCCATATTGACTAATGGACCTACATCTTCTGAATGTCCAAATAAGTTACACATGGACACCAGGTTGTTCGGAGGACACATGCCAAGTTTCACCATTAGAGGGAGGCTGTAACAAGGGGAATCTCGTAAAAACCATTGGAGTAAGGAAGTTAAAATTTGACACGCTTTTTCTTTGCTACAAGTGCTAATATACTGCAAAATCAGTTGGACAGATGAACAAGAATGCCGGCAGCCAATTAAATTTTATCAGCCATGTGTATTTCTTACAGGCCTCACTATAGATCAATATAACAGGCTTCAAACTTCTTAGCATCTTTTGAGGTAAACCGTTGACAACAACTGTATCAATAGCATCTGTACTGCCAGCTTGCCAATTGCAGTCTTATTCCAGCTGCTTGGACCCATTTTATTGTCACGTGTGGCTATATTTATCTAAGTATTTGCCAATCATTTACTTCTGCAATCACAGACTGTGAAGTATAACCATCATTGATTACACTGCTTACAAGGTCTTACAGAACCTGGAATGTTATGAGTATATCATCATATCAACTGTCTTTCTGATAGCACACACAGCTTTCAATGAGCACAGCTGTGCGCCCCTATTGTTAGCCAAAATCACTTTTGGATTTTATTAGCGGACAAGTGTACAAGGTGTGTAGCCCCTGTTGTTTACATTGGCGTATCATTCTGCTTCCTCTGGCTGGGAGAATATGGCAGCACCTAGATCTGTATGGAGGAAAGTTGTAATTTCAGCATATTCATATTGATCATTTTTGTTGCCACTCCTGTTACAATGTTTGTCCATTGCAGTGCAGTGATGTGGCACAGGTTTGGTGTAGTATCCCAAAGGTTGTAGGTTCAAATCCCACTTATGGTCATTTCAGAGTTGTACCTGTGTTGTCCTTTTGGCTCTTGGCATCATACTTACAGTACATGTATTGCTGCCTCCTATATTTCTCCTTAATGCTTTGCATTTCATTAGTTTTTTTTGTGTCATGTCAATAAACGTTGCCACATTCATGCTTACTACGCCTAAGTGCCTAAAAGGTTTTTCATAAGATGATGGTTCCAAGTACAGTCATGATTTGCATTAGTCAAGCTACTCAGTTCAAGTTCATTCCACTGTAGACAAATGCAACACTGCTGTTGTTTTCGAGGAGAAAAAGTCAGGGATGCCTTCAATAGACCAGCGAATGAACAAGGAAATTGGCTCCACAGCTTTGAATCATTTAGAATGTTGCAACAGGCTCTTGTTTGTCAGAAAGCAGGTCAGATGGGAACCATCACTCTTGCAGAGTCCACTGAATGACATTTGGCTTTTTTGAGAGTTTAATTATTAGCCATTTCCATGTGTCACCAAAACATTCTAGAGAATTCAGGGCCAGAATGTAATTTTTTTTATGTAGTGTTGTGACTCCATTTAGTGAAGCATATTGAGAGAAACAGAGAGAGGACTCACGCTGTTTGTGAAATTACAGTATGGCAGAATGATTTTAAATTACTGACTGATCTGGTCATCTGTGTTGATTAATTTACTCATTTAACCTACATTGTGAATAAATGTTTGTGGGAATTTCCCACATTATGAGCGGGAAAATTATTCGCAATAATTGCAACAGAAAGCAGGTCAGATGGGAACCATCACTCTTGCAGAGTCCACTGAATGACATTTGGCTTTTTTGAGAGTTTAATTATTAGCCATTTCCATGTGTCACCAAAACATTCTAGAGAATTCAGGGCCAGAATGTAATTTTTTTTATGTAGTGTTGTGACTCCATTTAGTGAAGCATATTGAGAGAAACAGAGAGAGGACTCACGCTGTTTGTGAAATTACAGTATGGCAGAATGATTTTAAATTACTGACTGATCTGGTCATCTGTGTTGATTAATTTACTCATTTAACCTACATTGTGAATAAATGTTTGTGGGAATTTCCCACATTATGAGCGGGAAAATTATTCACAATAATTGCAATCCTGTGGCCCTGGAAGGTATTCATTTTTATTTTTTTTTACCTGTGGAAATGATGATGTAATCGTGAGGAGAACCAGTTCATCACATCCCGACATTCCACATCTATTGAGAGCAGCATTCTAGTACCGGCAATGTGGCTTAATTCAATATTCAGGATGTGGTGATCATCATGACCCAAACGAAGCATTTCAATGCTGTGAGTCACATTAATTTGTTAAGCAGGCCACTTACTGTTCAAATGCCTAGAAGGTTAATTCTTCAGATTCACTATGAATCAGCCAGTTTACTACAAGCATCTACATGGATGCCAGCATGCAGACTTACTGTCAACTTCTTGTTGCTTTACTCGCTGAGTACAAATAAACCAAATCATGACAGGATAAAGAATGTGTAATTAAATGGTCAATAAAAGCAGGAATTCTTTGCCTTTCGAGGCTGGTGGTTCGAGGAGGTTACAAAACTGTTTGACAGGAACTTCAGCACGTCATGTCTTTGAGCTTTGATGACCCCCAGCTGTCGACTGGCGCTGTCCTCCTCTATGGAGTCAAATGTGTGTCCACTGTCTCTCCATTGCTTTTGGTCTATTTCACAGTGAGACTGTTAATCTTCTTTATTTATATTACATCCTTTACTACTGAGCCTCTTGGGAGATTAAGAGAGAAGGCCACCCATGAAGAGTACTTCACAGTGTCATCAGGCACATTAAGACTGAAGCATCGTTCTTAATCGCAGGCTCAATGTCTTAAGGTCTCCAGAAAGGTATTTTCAGTTTGTCTGCTTTTGTCTCATTCTCACTGTTTTTCTTTGATACGCTTATCCAGAGATTCGTAATGCAGGGTGGCTTCTTTCATGTAATGATCATGATAGCCCATTATCTCATTATGCTGTATGTCTCTCTGGACAGTTTTCCTTACATCAGTTTATTTTGGAGTGACTTGATGCTAGACAGTCTTTTGACACTGCGAACTGCATCCAAATTCCCATACTGTTTGTCCTAATCAGTATTCAAAATTAAAGTTAGTGAGTCCTAACTTGTAGTATGTTGAAATGAGTATCCAAAAGGTACCCAAATTTTCTACTATTTCCATTGGAAATTTGAAGTGCAGATCCATGCACACTCTAAAAGGATTTGGGCACAAATAAGCACAAATAAAAAGTGTTTTAAAAAACTACAAACTACACCAGTGTGGTTCATTAAAAATGCAATTATCACAAAAAGAGTACTGGGACGCAGTCTACGTTTAGTACAATTGACCCTTCGCTAAGCGCAGCCTTACAAATATTATTGACCAGTCCTGCCATAGCAAGTTGCTGTCTGTCATTTTCTCAAACTTTCTCTAATGTCTATAGAGTAAATTAATCAAGAATTTGGATAGTTTTTCACATTTTAAACATTTCAACATTTCTGTCAAACATTGTCGTCAGTTCACTTATAATAGCGACACAAAGTAGAGAAAATACAAGGGATATACAGTGGTGTGAAAAAGTGTTGGTCCTGATTTCTTATTTTTTTGCATGTTTGTCACACTTTAATGTTTCAGATCATCAAACAAATTTAAATATTAGTCAAAGATAACACAAGTAAAC